GGAAGGAAGGGAAAGGAAGATAAGAAATCTTTTATTTTATTTTATTCCAAACTTGTAAATATTTCACAGATATTTACAAAACTAAATTGATAAACAGAAAGTTGGTTATGATGAAGAAATTCCCAAAATTACTGTCTTTTGGTAAGCAACTTTTAAATATTAAAAAAGAAAAAAAGAAATAACTATAATGACCAAGGGCTCACTGAAAACTACATTTAGATATATTTTTTTTTAAGTTCTTGTTATGATCAAAAGTTTCATTTGTAAATTCACCATTGAAGGCGATGTGAAAAACAGTAATTAAGTGGGTGATTGATACAATTGAGTGTATGACTCATAGTTTGCAAAGGAAAATAATTTTGGGGAAAAAGCTCAGGAAGAAAAGAAGCAAATAATGGATTCTGGAAGAAATGAAGACCTTTCCTGTCCAAGAACTGTCACCAGTTTTTATTACTTGAAGATTAAGGGAGTAGTGAATAAAGCTGTCTGCCAGACTGCAGAAAAGGTAAGAAATAACATTGTCTCTAAATGTACCTCACATGAAAGTTTTCAGAAATAACATTCATAAAATTAAAATTTCTATAAAAAGTTACTAGAAAACCCAACTCAAATCAGAACAATGGAAATGCCAAAATAAACCAACATTACATTTGTCAAGAACATGAACAAACTGAAACATCTGGATAGGTCAGGTTGTAGAATCATCTAATTTTATTCCACTCGGTTTCAGAACAAAGACAGATCCAATACTGATTTATAGGGGATTATTTGTAGGACCTGGTTTGTTTTTGTTTGGCTGTTTTTCTACTTCAAGGTTAGCGCAAAATAAATATTTAGTTTTGCTACTAGGGGTTCAGCAAACTTATACAATGAGCTTCAGTTTCTGGTTCCCGAGGTCAAATTCAAACCACTGAATTCAGTTCCACTTTTTTTACTAATTGCCCCTCCCCTCTCATATATATACCTCAATTATATCATATGTATTTACATTTCCTGTTTTTTTTTTTAAGGCTCACATTTAGGTATGGGTATTAACTGCTATCCATGTGTTATGAATCTTACAGAAAATGAAGAGAATTTCATTTTGATTAAGTCATGAAGTTTATCTAATTTAGTATTTATTGACATTTTTGTGTATATTTTAGAGTCTATTATACGACAGCACTGAGCTAGATGTTTTACAAACATGTTTTACATGTTTTTTTTTCAGCATCCATAATAATAAAGTTTTATTAGAACATAGCCAACCGCATTCATTTACATTTTGTCTATTGCTGCTTTTGTGCTGCAAGGGCAGAGTTGAATAGTTGCAACAAAGAACACATGGGTTGCAAAGCCCAAAATATTTACTATCTGGATCTTTGCAGATGAGATTTGCTGAGTCCTGCCTGATGCCATGCAATTTCCCAGGTGTTCTGGAAAATCTGTAGGGCCTCTCTTGTCTCTGCACAAGGGCATCAGGGCTGAAACCCAGGTCTCCTTCTGCTTGACAAGCCATGTGTCCTAAGGCTGGTTTCCCTGGAGGAGGATCCTTCTCTAATTTGTTCACCTGGAGTTTTTACCCCCCCCCCTTTTTTTGTGGGTACAAAGCTACTAGCAGTGGCACAAAACGCCTCTGAGAAGGCAGCCCCAAAGTATGTCCTATCAGATTGACAGCAGAAGGAGTGGATAGTGAAGGAGGGGAGCCAGGAGGGACAGGAGTATGCATGAAGCCAGAGCAAGGGAGAATGGATAGTCTGGGCATAAGCTAGGGCCTCTAGCCAGCTTCAAAGGCACAATCACCAGGGAGTTAAATGAGGAGTTCTCTACCTTTATGTATGTAAAACATACACACACACACACACACACACACACACATACTGCCTAAGGATAAGGTAAATGAATATTTCTGTGATGAAGCAACCTAGACAATCTAAACCATCGCTGATGGCTTTTCCATGAGCAATATCCAGCCATTCCAGCCTACCTTATACATGTAACCCAGATCTAAGTTCATGAAAACTGTCTGATCCAACTTTAGAAAGTCAAAAAAAAAAAAAAAAAATTAAAAGCTGCGTGTGTGTGTGTGTGTGTGTGTGTGTGTGTCTGCATATACCTGTGTGTTAGGTTACTGATTCAAACCTTGGCAGTCCAATTATAGAATCTTTGCTCTTCTTTCCCTAAAGTTCATGCAAGGACTTTTGCTTACACCTCACTGGCCAGAACTATGTCCTGGGGCCACTATGAGCTGCAAAGGAAGCTGGGAAATGAGGCTGAGTAGGCAGTTGCCTACATACTAACAAGACCTCATTTAGTAAGAGAAAGAACAATAGATAATGAGTGGGCAATTAGTCCTCTCTGCCAGGCTACTTTGTTATTTCTAAATAAGAAAGCTGAAATACGATTATAATCTAAATTGAAAAAATTATTTGGGCTCCTATTGATAAATGCAGTTTCTTATGGTGGTAGTCTTTGATTCTGCTCAACAAATATGGTGGAAAAATAATTCTTTTTGCTTTAAGCCTCTGAGATTTATTTTTATTTTAATTTCTCTGTTACCAGAGCATTAATTTGACTGCATTTAATTTGACTTATTTTTGGATATATTTGAGTTATACTAATTTGACTAAATTTGTTGACCTATACATTACTGATACATTAAACTCCTATTTATGTGGAATCAAAAGGATCAGAAAGGCCAAATGTTTATTCAAGATATAGGATATCAGTATCATTTCCCATTTTCCCACTTGGTATGTATATTTTACTGCAATCTATTTTTAAAATCTCATTAATTTATATACAGTTTATATATACTAAACAGAATAATTAGTAAACAAAATAATTCTTCAACTAGAATAAATTATAGCATCATTTTTAGCCCTGTGCTGACCTTTTATATAATATTCTTAATATGAGAAATACCACTTATTTCTTTCTTTTTTATTTTTATTTATTTATTTTTTTTATGATAGTCACACAGAGAGAGAGAGAGAGGCAGAGACACAGGCAGAGGGAGAAGCAGGCTCCATGCACTGGAAGCCTGACGTGGGACTCAATCCCGGGTCTCCAGGATCGCGCCCTGGGCCAAGGGCAGGCACCAAACTGCTGCGCCACCCAGGGATCCCCCACTTATTTCTTTCAATTGTTGAAGCCACTAAAGCCCTCCCTCTTTCAGATATATTTAAAAATATTAAAGAAAATATTCAGAAAGAAAAAAAAATAAGAATCTTTGATCTTAACCACTAAGACACTGTATCCTGGAAAATAAGTGTGACTTTTAAAATGAAAACAACTGATTCAGTTATTTTATTTATTTAGTAGTACCTTCTAAGAGACCATATTTCTGAAGTCAATACACTAAGTATCAGTGTTAAGTTATAAAAACAGATTTGCTACAAATTTACTATGATAATTATTTTTTTTTTCCTTTTGTAAATATGCTTAATTTCCAGAAAGTTTCTAGCTTTGTTTTTTTTGGATACCATATTATCTAATGTTTTTGGAGTTTAAAGCATTTTTGTAACTAAAACTTTATATAATCCTGCCAGCAACACTATAAACAAGGCAAGCATGATGGTTAATTGGATATATGAACTTTGCTGGGCCACAGTGACCAGATATTTGGTCAAACATTATTCTGGAATAAAAAATTTAGGGACGCCTGGGTGGCTCAGTGGTTGAGCGTTTGCCTTTGGCTCAGGTCATGATCCCCCAGTCCTGGGATCAAGTCCCACATCGGGCTCCCTACATGGAGCCTGCTTCTCCCTCTGTGTGTCTCTCATGAATAAATAAATAATATTTAAAAAGATTTTTTTTTTAATCTTTTAAAGAAAACCACACCTTTCCGTGAAGGTTTGTTTTTGTTTTTTTTCAGATGAGATAAAATTTGAATTACTATACTGAGTAAAGCAGATTACCCTCCATAATGTGGGTGGGCCCCATCCAATTGGCGAACAAAGGCTGACTTCCTTGGAACAAGAAGGAACACTGCCAGCAGATTCTTTTTGGACTTAAGCTGCAATTCCTACCTGGGTCTCCAGCCTTCCAGCCTACTGTGCACATTTTGGAATTAGCAACCCTCTTTGAGATTAAATTCCTCAAAATCAATCATTCAATCTCTGCTCCTCCCCATATATGTATGTGTATACACACGTACGTATACACACACATAAACATTCTGTTGGTTCTGTTTCTCTGAAGAACTTTGAATCAGATAGCAAAGTAGTTGAAAAGTCTAAAACAAGGAATAGGAATTCAGATCCTTAACTTCTGTCTCTAGTTGTTCCTGAAAAGATATCAAAATTCTCAAGAATCTATGCTAGAACTCAGTTTTCATACCCAAACTGCTCAGCCAATGTCATGTTCTTTTTCTTTTAAAACTGCTACTTGACAAAACTATTCAACTCTGGAAAACAGTATGACAGATCCTCAAAAAGTTAAGCATAGTTACCATATGACCCAGCAATTCCACTCCTAGGTATATATATCCAAGAGAAGTGAAAATATATGTCCACACAAAAAAGTGCACGTGAATATTCATAATAGCATTCTTCACAGTAGCCAAAAAACAGAAACACAAATGCCATCAATTGGTGAATGAATAAAACAGGATGTGGATTATCCATAAAAGCAATGGTTCAGAAAAAAAAAAAAATGAATTACAGACAAATGCTACAACTCTCATGAATCTTGAAAACATGCTAAATAATGAGCAAGTGCAAAAGGTCACATATGACATGAATGTATTCATAAGAAATGTCCAGATTAGGCAACTCCATATAGACAAAAAACAGACTCAGACTCTAGTTGTCAGGGCAAGGGGAAGGGGGTCAATGCAGAGTGAACGCTAAGAGACACAGGAATCCCTATGAAATGCTCCTGAGTTAGATAGTGATGATTGTAAAACCTTGTGAATATATTAAAAACCAGTGAATTGCACACTTTAAAATTGTGAATATTAAGATAAATGAACATCTCAATTTTAAAGTGTTAAAAAATAGAAACACTAACCAACTTACCTGGCCTTTCTGTGGTGCCAAACAACGAACAACTTCATCCACCATGACTGGAATATGTAACTTAGTCACAGCTTCGTTATCTCTATCCTGAGGTCTGTGCATCTCTTGAGTTCCATTTTGATCTGTTTGCTCCCGGGCTTCACACTCATTATACCTTTGTGCTGTATCATGTATTCTTTTTGGCCAGACACCTGAATTAAATATGCCAGATTCCCACCAGCATGAAAGGAATTCTTTATAGAGTCTACAAAAATATGGGTATCGAAGCATTCTGTAGGTCAACAAATCTGGGGAAAAAAATTAAAAATATCACGATTGTTGGATTTTTAAAATACATAATTTTATATAACTTTTACATATGGCCTGTTAAGCTCTAAGATATTGACGTTTTAATGATCAGGGCTGTAAAAATTGATTATTGGGTCATCATTTTTCTGAAATATATTTCTGACTTTAAAGAATAGATTCAGTGCATTAGAACTATTTATTTGAAAAGCCATCTGGAGGGAGGTGGGGGATACCGTCACTGGGTGATGGGCATTAAGGACGGTATGTCATATAATGAGCACTGGGTGTCACAGACAACAGAGAAATCACTGAACTCCACCTCTGAAATTAACAATACACTATAGGTTAATTAATTGAATTTAAATTTTAAAAAAAGCTAATGATTGCACGGATTATGCATATTATCCTATTTCAGATTCAGGTAGTCTTTTATTTTAAGCTCTTCTATTTGTTTTTCTCATATTGCTAAGTCTTCATCTTCAGTCCAACTTTATTTGAAAAACCGTCCTTGGAAAAAGATATGCATGTTTATTCATAAACAAATGAAGGTAAAAATTAGCTTGTGAAAATCTTGCAGACTTGTTATGGATATTCTCTGACAAGACTATCTCATCATGGCTTCCATTAGTGAAGCATGTTTCAATTTAAATTATGACTTTATAAATACTCAACTGAACATACTTTGGCATGCTATTTTGTCTGTCCTCTGCTCCCCAAAAACAAGCAAATAATTAATACATTCCTTAACTTTCTCACACTTGTTCCTTTTTATTCTGCAATCTGGAACTCTTCCAGGTGCAGAGGAAAAAGCACTCATGAAATATATTAACAGAAACCCTTTTGGAAATATTATGCTTTTATACATTAGGTTGTAAGCCACGTTTTTAATACTACTACAGTATATACCAACTTAACACTCTGCTTCTTTCCTTCTAAGTTATTATGAGTTATTTAAGAATAAGACCCACACCTTTATATCCACAAAAGCAGATACACACTAGGTGTTTGAGAAGTGTTTTCTGGGGAAGAAAAATGAATGGATGGATGGATGAACTCCAGATTCTACAGAACTTATATCTTTATCGAAACTTAATTTAGGGGACGCCTGGGTGGCTCAGAGGTTGAGCATCCGCCTTTGGCTCAAGGTATGACCCTGGCATCCTGGGGATCCAGTCCCACGTCGGGCTCCCTGCATGGACCCTGCTTCTCCCTCTGCCTGTGTCTCTGCCTCTGTCTCTTATGAATTTAAAACAAACAAACAAACAAAAAATTTACTTTAGGAAATTTCACCTGCTGACTGACCCTACCAAAAACCACTCTCAAAATCCTTCAAGAAACATAAATATCTCCCTTACCAAGAAAAAGAAACATAAACATCCTGCTTAAATATGCCTTCCCTTCCTTTTGCAATAGAAATGAAAAATAATGTCGAAAAACTGATCACATGTAATGACTAGAAAAGGAATATTTATATTTTATAAATTTAATATCAACAAGACGTTGCCTTAAGGATAGGCCAACTTTATCTAAGACATAGTCCACAGAACTATGTGACAAATGTGACACAGGAAAAATATAGGAAAAAAAAAAAAAAAGCCTGGAAATAAGTGTTTTAAAGTAACGTTTTAGATGTTCATCAGTGACAAATCAGCCAAATCTTTAATTGTGCCCTGCGTTTTTCAGAAAGCTCATACAAAGTAAACCCAACTACCCCCTGACTGTGTTTTCTGACATTTTTCGAAATAAAAGCTAACATTTCCCGGGCACTTACTAAATACCTGTCAACTCCTTCAGTCCTAACCACAACTGTTAGAGGTAGGTAGTGTTGTTATTTCCACACTCAGATGAGGAAAACGCAAGTAATTGGCCGAGGGCACATTCCTAGGGCGTCGCAGGGTAGATGGGTAAGGCCGGCCTTCTGTCCGCAGAGCCTGGCATCTGAGCCTCTGGGCCGCCACCCCGGCCGCTGCTCTGCTGAGTGCACCCGGGTCACCCAACGGAACCTTAACCACGTTGACTGTATATCCGCACTCGCTCACGAATTACATTCTTTTTCCGCAAAGAGCCAACATCCTCTGGCCTGTTGCTACTCCGCCTGGAAATAGTGTAACAGAGGGCAGGCCCTATACAGGCCTGCAGAGCGGACTCGGGAACAGCCGCGCAATCCGCACGGCACGTCCCGAGGTGCACAGACACCCAAATACACGTGTAGGTATCTGCGTGTAGGTACATGTGCATAGGGGAGATATGTATTTCCCCAATACAGGAATTAGAGCTACATAGGGAAAATCAAGTAGAACAGATTAAAAAAAAAAAAAAAAAAGAAAAGAAAAGCTTCTGTTGCATTTAAGTCTTTCCTTCCGCATTCAATTTCTCTATTTACTCCACTGGGTTCCCCGTTCGAAGCCTAGCAGGGTGGCCGCGACCCTGGGTCCACATGCCGCGCACTCGCAGCATCTCGCTGGCCGTTTGCTGGAGAGCTCGACAACGAGGGAAGGCGGCGAGCTGCGGCCGGGCCCCACGCGGTCCCCCGGGCCCCCCGGGGTCAAGGATCGCGGACAGTCACAGGCTCAGTCTGCAGGAAGGGGCGGGGGCCGGATGGTCGGCCACTGCAGGGGCTGCGCGGGGGCGGGGAGTGGTAGGGGGGAGGGGGTGCTCCCAGGTGCGGGCCCGGGGTGGGGGAGGAAGGGTAGGGGGTGCTCCCACGTGCGTGCCCGGGGTGGGGGAGGAAGGGTAGGGGGTGCTCCCACGTGCGTGCCCGGGTGGGGGAGGAAGGGTAGGGGTGCTCCCAGGTGCGTGCCCGGGGTGGGGGAGGAAGGGTGGGGGTGCTCCCAGGTGCGGACCCGGGGTGTGGGGGGTAGGGGGGTGCTCCCAGGTGCGTGCCCGGGGTGGGCGGGGAGGGTAGGGGTGCTCCCAGGTGCGGACCCGGGGCGGGAGGGGGAGGGGATGCTCCCACGTGCGTGCCCAGGGCGGGGGAGGAAGGGTGGGGGTGCTCCCAGGTGCGTGCCCGGGGTGGGGGAGGAAGGGTAGGGGGTGCTCCCAGGTGCGTGCCCGGGGTGGGGGGGGAGGGTAGGGGGTGGTCCCAGGTGCGGACTCGGGGCGGGAGGGGGAGGGGGTGCTCCCACGTGCGTGCCCGGGGTGGGGGAGGAAGGGTAGGGGCGTGCCCGGGGTGCTCCCAGGTGCGGACCCCGGGCGGGAGGGGGAGGGGATGCTCCCACGTGCGTGCCCAGGGCGGGGGAGGAAGGGTGGGGGTGCTCCCAGGTGCGTGCCCGGGGTGGGGGGGGAGGGTAGGGGTGCTCCCAGGTGCGGACCCGGGGCGGGAGGGGGAGGGGATGCTCCCACGTGCGTGCCCAGGGCGGGGGAGGAAGGGTGGGGGTGCTCCCAGGTGCGGACCCGGGGTGTGGGGGGGTAGGGGGTGCTCCCAGGTGCGTGCCTGGGGCTGGGGAAGGGTAGGGGTGCTCCCACGTGCGGCTCCGCAGGGGCCGCGGGACGCCCGGAAGCCCCTCCCCCTCCCCGTCCCCTCCCCTCCCCCCTGCTCCCCGCGGCGGGCTGGGCCGCCCGGCGCTCCCCCTCCCCCCTTCCCCCCCGCGGGGCCGCGCGGGCGCACGGAGGTCCGGGGCCGGGGCCGCGCGCCCACGGAGGGACAGCGGCTGTGACCCCGGGGCCTGCGCCGCGCCGGGCTCCCCGCTCCCGCCCTCGAGGACTGAGCGCGCGGCGGCGGCGGCGGCGGCGGCGGCGGCGGCGGCGGCGGCGGGCAGGGGCGGGGCGGGGCCTGCCGGCGGGCGGTCCTCAGCCTCCCCGAGGCCCCGAGGGCGCGGCGGGGCGGCGGCGGGCGGCGGGCGGCGGGCGGCGGGCTGCGGGCGGGGCTGCGGCGGGGCCGGGCCCCCTCACCTGCGGCGCGGAGCGGGCTGGCCGGGCGGATCTGGGGCCCGCGGCCGCACGTCGAGGCCGGGCCCGGGGGACCCGCGCGCGGACGGACCGCACTGGGGGGCGGGTCCGCCGCGGCCCCGCGCGAGCGCCGGCCTTTGGTTCCGCTGCGCGGCCGAGCCCGCAGCCGGGGCGCCCGGGGACCCCGGGGCGCCGCGCCCCCTCCCCGGGCCAACAGCCCCGCTGCTGCGGCACCTGTGCGGGCGGACGGCGAGCAGGCGGCCTGCTCCAGCGCCGCGGGCTGCGATGGCTCTGGCTCTTCCTCCCCGCCTCATCCCCCGACACCCCCGTGCCCCACACTTGGGGCTCCTGACGTCCCGCGGGGCTCAGCGGCGGCCTCGACCGCGGCGCGGGGACGCCTCTGCCCACCTGCAGGGCCGTGCGGCCGCCGGGGCCTCGGCGGCCAGGTGCCCAGAGCCCGGGGGGGCGGACTCCGGCGCCGGACGCCCGGCGAGCATCCCCGCCAGGTGTGCGGAGACCTGGTAGCGGGCCCCGACGGGGCTGGCGGGAAAGTCCTCGGGAACACCCGGGAGACAGCAGTAACCGGTGCCACCTTATGACACCTTGGTTCAACGATACATATTTTCAGAAGAGATGAAGAGAGCATCTTAATATCACGAAATCTACAAAGTATTCCCGAGACAAAGGCCTCAATTCTGAATTGGCCGGTTTGCACCACTACTAACAATAAGGAATTTCCTTTAGGGATTTTCTGAAGAAACCTGTTTTTCTTTTTTTTTTTTTTTTTTTCAGTGAAATAAATTATGCCCGCATCTCATGGACCGTTCTGGGAATTGAATGAGATGACCGATGTAAAGTCAACGAAATGCCTGGGACGTCAATGGTAAAGTTCTATTGGGTGCGTATTTGAAATGAAAATAAAAAGGTAAATAAACAAAAAAATAAATAGATAGATAGATAAATAATAAATAAATAAATAAATAAATAAATAAATAAATAATTTAAAAGATTTTTTAAAAAGGGGGTTTTCAGGTTTATTGCCAAACCCAGCACCACACAAGTAACTATTGCATTAGCTAAGATACATGCAGCCACATTAAAAAAAAAAAAAAAAAAAGGTACAATTAGCCGGAATTAGTAGCTTCATAGGGCTCTATCCAGAGTTCAGGAACAGCCGTGTAACACGCATCATATGCAACACACAGTGTTTCAGATCTTCAGCAGGAAATAAATGTCCATATTATGGGACATTTCATATATTATGAAATACATGAAATGAGGCTTTCATATAGTATGTGAGTTACAATACTGTGCAAGTGTTGTGCCATCCTCTTTATTAGGGTGATAAGCTCCATGTAAGAATATAAACCCCAAGAGGGCAGGGATTTTTACTTACACTACTATGTCCCTAAAGTCTACAATCAGTAATTGCAGCATGGATACAATGTCAATATAAAGAATGACATTGGCCTTCAGATCCTACGGTTAAAATCACCCCGACCCATAAAGAGAACTTAGCACACATATTTCCCTTTTTTTTCTTATTAAAGCGTACGTTCTCAAATTTTATCTGTAATCTAAGATTTAAAAAAAACAACAACACTGCATCCAATAATGAAGTAGGCCAATACATTTAAATGAATTTATTTCGTAAAATCATTAGAAATAAATATTAAAAAAAAAAAAAAAAACACCAAACGCCGAGTAGTTTCACAATCAGCAATAAAGGGATAGGCCTGGGAGCGCTGGGGCCTCAAGCCCAAAGCTCTAGACTTTTCAATTAGTCGCGGCGGATTGCGCCCAGTGCATCCGAGTGTCAGCGGCCAAGAGGCCCAGGTGCCCACGCCCTCCGGAGCATCAGACCCGAGCCTTGGAGGCCTCACTCCTCCGGGAAGAAAAGGGAAATCCAAGCGTCCAGCCGCCGCAGGCTCCACCCCTCCCGCCGGCCGACCGCACCAGCCAGCCCCCGCGCCCCGCGCCCCCCGCCCCCGAGCCTGCCTGCAGCCCCCGGGCTGGCTCCTCCCACCTGCCGCCGCCGCTAGCCCCGCCCACCTGGGGGCCGGCGTCTCCGGAAACAGCCGCGCGCGTTGCCCCGGCGACGCGCGGCCACGCCCCCTCCGCGGAGCGGCGCGGCCCAGAGTCCTGGCGCCCAGCGGCCGCGCGCCGCGGCAACGTCCGACGTGATGGCGTCACGGCGCCGGCGGCCAATGAGACGGGGCGCTGGGAAGGCTGGCTTGGGTTTGAATCTTGTGGCTGAGTTTGAGCCGCGGAGCGGCGGACGTCGAGGAGGAGAGTCGCCGTCGCCCCTGCGGGCCCGAGGTGAGCGAGACGCGCGCGACCAGGAGCCTGCCGCCGCGGACGCCTCGTGTGCTGCCCAGGTCGCTGGAAGCGCACGACGGGCCGGGCTTGTGGACCGACGCGGGAGGCGCGGGGGGCGGGGGGCGGTTAGGGCCTGGGAGGCGGAAGGGCCCCGGGGGGCGGGGCTAGGGCCTGGGCGGGGTTAGAGAGCTGGAGGGGGCGGTTAGGGTCCTGGCGGGGTTAGCGAGCTGGAGGGGGGTTAGGGTTGGAGGGGGGGGTTAGGGTCCTGGGCGGGGTTAGAGAGCGGGGGGTGGGGTAGGGTCCGGAGGAGGGGTTAGTGTCCTGGGGAAGGTTAGGGTCCTGGGCGGGGTTAGGGTCGGGGGATGGTTAGGATCCTGGGGGAATTTAGGGTCCTGAGCGGGGTTAGGCCTGTGAGGGGGAGTAGGGTCCTGGGCGGGGTTAGGATCCTGGGAGGGTATTAGGGCCCGGGGGGGTTTTAGGGTCCTGGTGATGTTAGGGCCCTGGTTGGGGGTAGGACCTTGGGAGGGGGGCTAGGGCCCCGGGCGGGGGCGGGTAAGACCCTGGGTGGGGGGTAGGGTCCTGGGCCGGGGGTAGGGCCCGGGGGGTGGGGGGGGAAGGAAGGGGCAGCTCGCCCTCCGAGGGCCTGGCCGGGGGCCCTGACTGCTCCCGCCTTCACTTCCGAGAGGTGAGCGATGATGCAGGGCATCCTGGCACCCAACTGCCCTGCCCCCGCCAGGGGCCACTGGGCGCCTGGCTCGGTCCCAGGCGGCGCGGCCCGGGTGTGACTGTCAGCTGGGGCGTCTTGGCCCCAGGGTGTGCTGCTGGCCCGGCCAGGGTGGGCGGGAACCGCCTCTGCGCCCCGGCCACAGCTGACAGCGCGCCCAGGGGTGCCCGAGGGTGCCCCGCGCCCGCAGCCCTGGAGTGTGCAGGGCCCCTTGAGGGGCTCGTGGGCGCGCAGCCACGGGGAAATCCAGGCCGACTGCCGCCGTGCAAGCTGGCTGGCTCCCGGGAGTGGGTGATGCCTGTCGTAGGCCTGCAGTTGAGGCTGTGGGCTGTGAGCCGTCCGGGGGCTACTTCCAGGCCCTCCCTTGGAGTTTGGGGAGTGGTTATGGGCTCTGGCGCCCGAGAATGTAAGAACCAAAGACTAGATAGTGCTCGTTACTCAGTTTCCATTACTTTGTAAGAAGTGTCTGCTTCCGTAAACCGAGGGGAGCTGCCTTTCATGGCAGCAGCTCACCCCTTCTGTCCCTGAGCAAGTATTTGCAAGTACATGAATTTTTCATTGTAAAAGTGCATCTTGTGAAAGTGCAGCGATCCCCTGAATCGATTAAGGTGCGCCATAAAATCACTTTTATTCTGTCAACGCTGTGAAATCCAGGAGGAAAAAAAATAGCCCAGATGTCAGTGCCGCCCTTCATGCCACTTGAAATTTTCTTTCTCCCCTGATGTTTTGAACTTAGGGAAGCGCACCGGCTCGGACACTAAAGCCAGTTCCGAAGAGAGGTGTAAATCGGGTGGAGGCTGTATGAACCTTAAATGATAGTGTGGAGGATAGTTCCTGTTCCTAAAAAATGTTTGTTGGACTTAGTCTGATTCAGATTTGAGTTTAAGAAGTGATTAAGAACTGTATGACTGACTCCACATTCGGCACTTCTGTTCCTTTGTTTGAAAATACTCTGTTCTTATTACAGCAGAGCACTGCTGTTAGGAACATGGGCTTGCTGTTGAGACCTGAGTCTCCATTCAGGCTCCTCACTTACCAGCAATGTCTCTTGGAAAAATTTATTTACCCTTAACGAAGTTTCTGTTTTTGTGAAATGGATACTGTTATAGAATGCCTCACGTGATTATTCTAAGGATTGAATGAGATGATGAATGTTAAATGTTTACCATAATGTCTAGCATATAGAGCATGCTCAAATGATAGTCAGTGTTGTTCATAATTAGTACTTATCGTTTTTATTGACCTAATTTAAAAGTTCTCGGAACGCCTGGGTGGCTCAGTGGTTGAGAGCTGGCCTTGAGCGCAGGTCGTGACCCCAGGGTCCTGGGATCAAACCCCACAATCAGCTCCCCACGGGGAGCCTGCTTCTCTCTCTTCGTCTTGCATGAATAAGTAAATAAAATCTTTAAAAAAATAAAAAAAAATAAAAGTTCTCAATTAATAGCATCTTTGCTGATAATATTTGATATCCCGTAAGCATGGAGAAATCATTTGATATCCTACAAGCATAGAGAAATCAAACTCTGTTTTATTTCAACATCCATTCAGGTGCTCCTCCACTGAGGTTTCTATCAAGAATAGACAAATATATATTTACAACTTTCATGAGAAAATTTCTGGAGATTATATATTTACAATCAAAAGAGTGGTTACTTAAATACTTCAGATTTACACCCACTTAGTCTGAGTTCAAATCCCATGTCTTTTGCATCCATTAGTGTGACTGTAGCCAATTAGCTTAATCTCCATTACAGTTTTCCCTCTATAGAATAGAAATGATTGTAATACCTATATCATAGGATTATTATGAGGATTGAGAAGTATGTAAATTGCTTAGCAATTTCTGTTTGTATACTAAGTGATCAATAGAAAGTATTTCATAAAAACAAAGTTATTAAACGAAAGATTGTGCCTACAGTTAATTTTAATACTTTTTATTTTGTTTTTGAAATAAAAATAACTAGTCTTGTTTAAAATCCAAATGATACAAAAGAATACATGGTAGAAAGTAAGCCTGCCTGTCACCCAGACCTTCA